CCGCCGCCGCCGCGCCCGGCCCCGCGCCCCGCCCCGCACACCGGGGCCGAGACACAACAACAACACGGGCAACGCGAGGAGAGGGGAGGGGGGGCGCGGACGGGCCCCGCGCACGGCCGGCACCGGGCAGGGGTCGTCACCCCACCGGTGGGAGCTCGGGGGGGCGCAGGTCCTGCCCGGCGGCACCGCCGCCCGTGGTCCTGCGTGTGCGTCGGCAGGGGGGGTCTCGCCCCCGGGTTGATGGGCGATGATGGGGGTGAGGCCCGGGTTGGTCCCCGCGGGAGGTGGTGGGAACTCTGGGGGCTCGGGGCAAAGGGCCCAAGCCGTGACCGTCCCCTCCTCGCTGGGGGGAGCACTGGCCGGCGGTGGCGTCCAGCTGAGGGGGGGGGGACACCCTGCAGGCCTGGCCCCTCCCAGCCCGTTCCGTGGGAACCCCCTTATCTGAGATGCCAGGGACATCAGGAGCCCCTGGGCGAGCAGAGCCTCGGGAGCTACAGCAGCTACCAAGGAGGGGCTGGGGGTGTCAGGAGCAGTCCCCCCTCCTCCTCCTCCCCTGCCGTTATCAGCTGCCTCTGCTCTCCCAGAGCTTTGCTCCAGCACCAGCCAAACCCTGCATGCGTCCCCTGCCCCGCTCCCCGTTTGCTCAATATTGTGAAATTCCCCCCTGTGACCCCCCCAGCACAGGGCGGGGGGCTGCGTGTGCAGCGGGCGCTTTGCTGGCTGCCTGGAGGGGAGCGCAGCGGCTCGCTATCTGCTCCCATCTGCCCCCAACACTGATCCATCCTTGTTAAGCCTGGCAGAGAGATGCTTCGCCGCTGTGTTGTGAAGTGATAACTCAGCCGCATTTGCAAAACAACTTTCCTCTTGTTTATTACATAATGATCCATTGATTGTGGGTAATGTTGCATGCCCGCCGCTGCAGCCGTGCAAGGAGCGCTCCCCTGGCACGCTGGAGGGGCTTGGGCGGACGCCGGCACCGCGGCTGTAACCGGAGAGTGGCTGTCGGCTCCAGCAGCCAAGGGCTCCCGCGAGGCTGAGGGTGTGGGGCTGGGTGCCCCTCATCCCACCCGCATCCCCCATGTCTTCCTCACATCCCCGCCTCTCTCTCCACCCTCGGCTCCCGTGGGAGGGGGACCCGCTTTTTCCCTTTCATCCTCCCTTGTTGCGGCCAGGCCTGACATCATCCCCTGCGCCGTAATGACTATGCGAGGCCTCCTGCTCCCGGCAAGCCAGTGCTGCCGTGGCTTGTACAGGGGAGCACCTCCTGGGAACACCCCTGTGGCCGCAGCCCGGTGGGATCAGAGCGTGGCATGCACAAGCCACGGGGACAGGTGCAGCCGGACAGTGGTGGGAGCCGGTCAGCACCGCAGCTGCTTCCCTCCCTGGGGTCCTGGCATCACCTCCGTACTGCCCCCACTGTGGCAGAGACAGGCTGCACCTGTGCCGGGTGCCTGGGGAAACCGAGGCAGGGAGCAGTGATGGGGGGGCTGTGCAGCCTCTGGCAAAGCCCAGCACCTGAGGCCGTCCCTCCCGGCAGGGCTGGTGCAAGCCCCAGAGGGTGACGAGCCTCCAGGAGCACCACGTGAGGTCCGTCCCATGGGATTGGGATGTGGTACCCAGTGCTGTTGGCTGAGGGGCTCCCCCGTTCCCTTCGCTGCGGTCCCCAGCCCGAGGGCAGGGCCACCAGTGCACGGGGACAGGACTGGCAGCAAGGCCACAGGGACCTGGCTGGGTCCCAGCATCACTGCCCTGCCTGGACCACGGCAAAAGGGCAGTGCCAGCGGCGGTGGCTGGATCGGGGGAGGAAGGACAAGCAGATGTCCCCTGCTGGGGACAGCCTGAGGGACAAGCTGGGGCTAGAAGGTGTCCAGTTACCTCCCACCTGGGGCTCAATGGTGAGGGACAAGCCGCAGCAGGGACAGGGTGACCATAGGCAGGGCTCCATACAGGGTGGGTGCCCACCCCCAGTGGCACCAGGGTGCCCGTGGTGGTGCGCACGTGTGAATGGTCACGGCCACGCCTCCTGGTGCGTGTGGGGCTGGGGACTGCCTTGGGTGACCGTGGGACGGGGTCAGTGCCCGTGCAGGCAGGGCTCCTGCCGCACCAGCTGCAGTTTGCAGGACAAAGGTGAAGCCATTTCACGCCGTAAACGCTCGCAGCAGAGAGGCACAGGGCAGGTGGGGCTGGCCAGAGGCCGCAGAGCTCGTGACAAACTATTTATGGTTTCTCAGCTCGGGACACCCAGGTGTGCCCCAGCCGCTGCCCGTGCTGACGTCGCTGGCCATGAGGCTGGGGGAGGAAGAGAAACCGTCCAGTCCGTGGCCAGGAGTGAAGGCCACAGTGACGTGCCACGCCGGCTGCGTGCAGCCCAGCAGGTAGGCACAGCCCGATGCCAGGCTGCGCGTGGCAGGGGCAGAGCCGCATCCCCGAGGCTGGCTGGCCACGCCAGGCCCTTACGCATTTGGCCGGAGAGCAGGATGCACCCAGCCCTACCCGGGGAGGAAGATGCTGCCACGGGGTGATGCAAAGCCTTGTGCTGCACGGCTGGTCCAGGCACACACCTTGTGCCCAGAGCTGGACATGCTGCCAGAGCTGTAGAAGCCCCCCCAGGACCCAGGGGGCACCTGAGCCCCAGTGCTGGGGTCCCAACAAGGGCTCCCCCCTGCCTTGGGGCAACAGGGCTTGGGGATCCCCCGTACCAGCACCCCAGGAGTCTCCCAGCTGGTCCAGGCTGCCCCTGGCATGCCATGCTGCACCCTGCCCGAGGGCACCGGAGCAGAGCAGGGCTGGGTGGCTGGTCTCCACCAAGCTGGCGGCAGTGCCACACACAGGCCAGGGAGCGGTGCCAAGGTCAAGGCAAGCGGCAGGAGGGATTTTGCAAGCAGAGCTCGCTGTGCTGCACTGTGCCGGGGCAACCGACTCAGACCCCTGCTCCCCACCATGCTGCACCAGCCAACAGGGCTGTGCTGGGCTCCCCAGCCCAGCCTGCCACGTGCCACCGGCATGGCCCTGCACTGGGAGGACTGTGGCTGGTCCCCGGCAGCCAGTGTGCAGGCTGGATACAGTCCTTGGCAGTGCTGGGTGATGCTGCCCCAGCCAGCCCCTGGCCACACCATGCCCATCCAGCCCAGGGTCAGCAGCTGGGTGCTGGGTGGCACCCTGAGTACCCGGGGAGGGGGTCTGGGGCAAGGTCCCTAGCCCCACAGTGGGCCAGACCTGCAGGAGTGTGGGGGGTATGTGGGGAGCCCGGCGCCTTCCGGGAGTGCTCAGAGGACTCGTCTGACGGGTTCGCTCTCTCTTCCCGCACCCGGACAAGCCCGGGCTGGCGGGACGCCGAGCCACCGCCCAGCAGTGCCTGCTGGGGTGGGGGGAGAGCGGCCACCCTGCCACAATGGCTGTGGGGATCCCCCAACTGAGGCCACATCCACAGCATGTCAGTCCCCACTGGGAGAGGGGCTGCAGCCCTCCTGGTCCCACATTGCCTTGTGGGGAGAGCGGCTGCCCCCCTCCCTGGGCGCACTGGGCCCCCCCCAGCCCAGTGGGGTGCAGGGTCAGGACCCGCACGGCTGCTCCCTTGCACCCACTGGGGCTGTGGGGTGCCAGCTGCAGGGCTGCTTGCACCCCACTCCTCCATAGCCCCAGCAACACCCCCCCTTCCACGTGACCCCCATCCCAAGCGGGTCACCGGGTGCAACCCCCTCCCCACACATCCCCTCACCTGGCTGGAGGCACCAAGGGGGAACCAAGGGCATCCCCCCCACACCCCGCGGGAGCTGCCGCGCAGACAGGCGTGTGCCAGATCCCCCTGACGCCAGCAGGAGCTGGCATGCCCGGCAGAGCCAGAC